TTAAATTTAGGTTATATTTACTCAGGTTTAAAGGTTAAATTTTGCCAGATCATCTCACTGACCCTGGCAATGCGGGGGTCTGCAGACAGGGAGAGCACAGGATCCAGTGGTACCACAGAGAAATGCGTGTGGGGCGTGAATTCAGGGAGGTATCTGTAAAGATGGAGCAATAGTAACCATTTCCAGGTTATTCTCCAGTCTCTCCTAAGATCCAGGTGAATGTCTGTAGAGCCTGTATAAAAATCCATTGAATTATTTTCCAGCACTGCTCAGTTCTGCGAGCTTTATCCAGAAAGGAATGGGCTTTTTCAACTGTGTGGCCTCCATGTGGCAGTACGTGGATAAACATAATGTTGGAGTCCATCTGTCCTTAACTGTGCTGTCCTCATGCCTGCCTGAATCTTTTTCCTTGCACAGTGCTTTGAAGCCCCATAGCTATCTTATAGACAGGACTTTGACAGGTAATTAGGATCATATTAACCCTCAAAATATCCTAGTGATAAAATATACCTGGCTTACAGGTGGCGAACTGCTGCTCAGCAAGTCCACAAGAAAACAAGAGGTGCTGGATAGCGGCTTTCCCAATGGTTTAACAAAGAAACATCCTCCCCTGCTGATCCTGTGCCCTCTCCAGATAGGTAGGAGACAGTCACAATGTGCTCAGAACCCAGAGCCCCATTCCAGCTGCTGACATGTTCACTAGCTAGCTGCAGAAATATATGTCTGGCACAGCTCCATGCCCAAGTTTTTCACATATTTGAAAAGCTGCAGTTGCGGATTCTCACTGAGAGCCCAAGCATCTAGAAGAGTTAAATCACTGTGGCAAGAAAATATGTCTATTCTGTTCAGTGGTTCACAGCAAATGCCACTTACAATGGCAAACTTTTTTTTCCCTGATTCCTGCCAGACCACTGTAAAAAAAAAAACTACAGACGATGATGGAGTTTTACATCAGCTTGGGCTTTCCGTGCTGCAAGCAGCTGGGAATCTTATTACAAGAGTTCCCTCTGGTGGTCAGCAATGGGGAGATGAATAAAACTTTCCCGGTGTGAAAAGCTACTTTTCTAGCTCGAAGTCAATATCTGACCCTCATTATTTGTAACTTTGCTTTTACTAAGAGTTTCTCCACGTAACGATTGGTAACCTTTCCTGAATTCCTCTTCCTTCACGTTTTCAGCACTTAGGCAATACGCAGGATTTTGCTACTGTTGACACATTCTTTCTGCACAAGAGCTGCAATAAAGGTGGAGCCCTCTGCCCAAACCTGCATGTCTGTGCTGGCCTCTTAAAGGCAGAGAATTGCAGCCTGAGATGAATGGGAAAGAACAGAATTTTCAACCACATTCTCAGAGGAATAAAACAGATCACTCTATAATTCTGAATAATTAACTGTTAAAAGCTTAAACAAGATTCTGAAATAAGTTGCAAGATACCAAGAAAAGGCTCCATTGACCTACCTGAGAATAAAAGCCCTATCAGCTCAAGCTCTTCTTCACAGCCTGGTTTTCCTCTCCCAATGCAGCTAAAGTTGATCTGTCCCTGGCATTGAACCTAGAGATGATTTTTCCTAAGAAGCACTAAAACTTTTGCAGCTGATCTAAAAGCACAGTTAATCAGTAGAAGCTTTCTTCCTGAGGTCATTGATCAAGTCAAAATCCTACTGAGCAGAGAGGGATGTAATATGGTTCCGCAGCATTCCTTTGTCACAGAAAACACTCAAGGATGTTAAAATAAAATTAAGGGAAAAAATCTGGATTAACCGAAGACTTCATCTGCTCTCTAATAACTGCAGTTTTGAAGAGCCTGGTGTCACATGACCCTGTCCTAATCGTTACTTTGAAGAGGTTGTTTTCTTAATGTAGATCACATATGTCAGTGCTACTTCTACTTACTGAGTGAAAACTAAAAGGAGGAAGAGGTTCATCTCTTGGTTTCTCTTCTCCATGATCTCGAACAAAAATCTGTGAGAGTTGTGCTTCTTTTTGTGGTCATTTCAGAATCGCAGCAGCTCTCCGTGTCCCATAACCACTCACATATTTGTGTTACGTGTATTCAAAGGTGTTTGGCTTCTGCCATAACCATTCACATCTGGCTCGGAGGTACCACGTGTGTCTGTGGTTCCTGACAGATACTGGCTAAGTGATGTCAGTGCCAAACATAGCACTGTGGGGAGCCCAGCTGACATTAGCCGTTGTGTACGGACCTCTGCTCCGAGCCTGTTAAAAATAATAAGCCAGGAAAGTGCAACAGTGTGACCAGTAGCAAGAAGATATTTTGGTCCTGCTGGCAACATAAAGGCTCCTCCAGTTACAAGGTTTCTTCATGCCATGCTGGAAAAGTCAACATTTGCTACTGAACTTTCCTGGGAAGCACTATTGGCTCCAAGGAAAGGTGACACATCACAGCTCAGGAATGACAGAATACAAAATAGAATTTGCCATGAATAACCTAAAGCTGGAGATTAGATTGATCCGATACGTAAGGACCTTCCTATAGAACAGAGGGAGGAAAATAACATTTGAGGCATCTGAACACGTTAGATGTCATTGTAGGAGGCAGTGCCTGTGCCAAGGGGTCTGAGACTTTACAACGTGCTGCCTTCAGTCCGTGTTTCTGTGCACACGTGTATTTAGTTGGACTTGATGATTTTGAAGCTCTTTTCCAACCACAATGATTCTATTTTTTCCTCTACGACTTTTCTGCTTTGCCATAACTGATTTCCAGGCATGGGAGAGCCCGTGGCGGCTCCTGTGAAAGGATCCACGGATCCAAGGCCCGCGCCTCCTCCCTGGAAGCTCCGGGCGGCCCCTCAGTCCCCCAGACGC